TGTAAGTGAGGCGTGTATACTACAATCTAATGTTAATCTAACGTTCTGTTAATATTTAAACTAAAATTGACAAAAAAAAAAAAAAAAAAAAAAACTGTAAAGGGAAGGGGGCGTGGGGAAACGACAAGGAAAAGAAGTGATTTTGTTGCGCAGGTAAACTTATCCAAAAACACATATATACATACATGTGTACATAAATATACATATGTTTGGTTGGCTTTCTGTGTGCGGTCAAGTGAGTTTACTGAGCGGTCAAAGACCGCAAACACATATATGTGCATACACACATATATATATATTATATTATATATATATATTGTATCCATTATAACTCTATTTAATATAAACTTTGTGCTTTTTTTTTTTTTTGCTTTTCTTCGATTTACGTCATATCTTTTGTATACGTAACAAGGTCATTACTGTGAATTATGTCTCATATTGTATGCAGATTAACGCTATTATTATGTATGTATGTATGTATGTATGCGTGTATACACTAACTTTTTTTTTCTTTTTTTTCTTTTACTTTAAATATATATAAGTTTTAATCTCGTTCTGCACTGTTTTTAGTATGTATGAGCTATATTCTTAGCGTGTGGAAGGATATTTTTTTTTATTAAACCTAACTTTAACTTATCAATATCCACATATATATATATATATATATATATATATATATAAGTATACATATATACATATATATATATATATATATATATATAATGGTTTTATGGTTGTTTTTTTTCAAATGTTGAATATAAATATAAATTTTAAATGCTAAATGTATAAATTTCTTTAAGGGATATTTTCATCTACTGCCGTTCTGGTTGAATATATATACAATTAAACATTTTTTTTTTTTTTGTTTTTTCTTTTATTATTTATTTTTCATGCGATTTACACTGAAGGCGAAAATAATCACGGATGATGAGATCATTTAAGAACAGAGCAATTTAGTTTTGTTTCTTTTTTAATATATTTTGATGAATGTTTTCTTTTTTAAATATTGTTTTGGTTGTTTTTAAAAATATACTATATATATATATATATATGTATATAGATGTATGTATATATAAAAAAGATACCTTAATGATACCTGCGTCTCTTTGTATTGCCTATATTTCTTTTAAGCTATTGGTCGTCATTTTGAAAGAAAGTCAGTAATATATAATTGCAAGTGCTTAGCTATGTGTATGTGTGTGTGCTGAATTTATGTGTGTGTTTTCTTTTTCTAAACTTATAATACATTTTTGACAGTTTTGATTACTTTTATACACATGAAATATATTTTACAAAATTAAAGTTTTTTTTTATTTATTTTTTTTTTAAGCTGTCTCTGGTAAATGTTTAGGATTTGAACTGAGAACTTTTTAATGTAAAAGATATGTGCGTATACTTGAATAAAATAAAAAAAAAAACCTTAAAACAAATTAAGAGGCCGCCGAAAAAAGGGGAAAGTACAGTCAGATTTACTTTTCATTTTAGTTTTTTTTTTCTATATGCGTTTTTATTACTCGTAGCATTTGAATAAAGAAAGGCTTACAATCAGTTGAAGTAGATGAAGAATACATAAGTATGGTAAGAAACTTCTGCAAACGGTTCTTATTAACTGAACATTCCTTTTGCTTGAAAAATTATCTTGCAAAGGAGGAAGTACTCGGACTGAAAACAAAACAAATTAAAGGCGAAATCCAGGGAAAATGTCTTCCACTTTCAGAAATAAAGAAACTAGAAACTTGACTGAACTTGACTGAACTTGACTTGACTCTTCGATATTGTCAGATAGACGTGAAAGAAAGAGAAAGTTATTGACTTGAGTTAAAAAAGAATCCTTTCTACGGATACGTAAGTTAAATCAAACCATATTGACATTTATATGGGATCTGTTTGTACTTGGAAAATTCATTGAATATTAAAAACAATGTAAGCCACATATTGTTAAAGAAAAGTGAGTAAAAGAGGCGCTTCTTCACAAAATTTTATTAAAGTATACACATATATACATAAAGAAAAGTCATTTGTTGCAAACGAAAAGAACGTATATACTCAAAATTTTGAATTTAATTATTTTAATAATGGGTAATAAGTGAGAAATATATATAAATACTTTTTAAAAAGTTTAATAATAATTCTTTAATAAATGGGAAATTATTTAAAACTATCGCAACTGTCATAGAAAATTTGAAATACTGAAAAGGAATGATGATATATACCTATGTAGGGATTGTATAAGTAAGGCATACGATAGCGCATATTAAATACATATAGATAAATATAAAAAAACTTTTCATAATATATGCCACGAGAAAAGGAAATATATGTATATAATTTTAACTCTTTGAGGCGAGGAATTCTAAATGTTCAAAAAAAAAAATTTTTTTTTTGGTGTAAAAAAAAAAATATATACGCAAAATTAAATAATAATAAATTCTTTATTAGAGGGTGGTGGGAGTAGTATATATATGCGTGTTTCGGGGGCTATTTTTAATCTTACATTATAATGCCTCGTAAGAGTTAATGCATATCAAAAAAGAACACAAAACAACCCATCATCAAAAGTGCTTACTTTCACCTTTCTCTCTCCTCTTTGATTATCTGTAATTATTTCCTTCGGCTCATTGCTACAGAATTAAATGTAATAATCATAAACTTACGTATGCTTTTAAAAGAATTGGAAAAGAAAACAATAAAAAAAGAGCTTTTACTTTACTTTAAATGTGTTGTTGGTTGTTTGCTTCGCTCGTTGCGTTCACTAATATTGCCGTTTAAAACATATGTTACTTAAAAGATGAATTAATTAAAACTCCACGTACATACCTAGTACATTTAAAAAACTTACTGAGAATATTTTAAGAATTATTTTTAAACGGCACCTGGTACATATATTACTCTGTACGGAGCTTGTTTAAAAAAAAATATAAAAAAATAAAAAAAAAAATAAAAAGAGTTCTACCATGAAAAAAAAAAAAATGCAATATATATATATATACATATATATATATATATATATGCATACGTATATATTTATATACATATATACATTTTTGCAAATACAGAAATAGGACGAAAAAGACTCTATAAGCCTAATACCAGTTGGCTTATAAAATATACTACATATATAGCACATATAAACATGGCTGACAAAGTAGAAATGGTCTACCTTCATGAAAAATATAAAAAAAAATATAATCAATTGTTTTGAAAAAAAAAAAAAAAAAAAAAACGATCAAAAAGAGAAATGAATACTATTATGAAAACAAATGCCAAAAAAATATATCCCTTTGCCATTTTTCATGTAACCTATTCATTTGAATTTACGTAACTTTTTTCCAAAGCTATATTACATGAATAATACAAGTCATTTTTTTCAAAGTGTATCGTTGTTCTTTGTATATATGTGCTTAAATGAAAGAAGAATCATATTTTTTTTTTTGAAACAAATTGAAGTCTTTACTTGAAAACACACTTTAAAGGAAATTTGTTGCATAAAAAAGAACCCTAAAAAGCATTGTTTTAAAGAAACCCTTCCATTGTTGTATTGCAAGAAATTGGTAAGCAACAATTATTACTCTTATATAAATTTAAAGTCAAAACAGTTTCGACGTTTTTAAAGACTTTACAAAACAAATAAAAAAATGTATATTCAACTGCTGAGTTAGTAGTGTGACTTCATTCTTATACATATATATATACAATCCGAAAGTATCTGAATAAAGATTTAGATCCTTTTTTTCTTTTTTTGCTCTCCCTCTCTCTTTTAATCTCAGAGAAAGGACAAATAACTAAACGTTTCATGTTTTTCTTTCTAATTGGTTTTTTATTTTTTTTTCTGGGGACTTTTCAAGTCATTGCTGTATACTAAGTATATCTCTTCGAGGCACAAAATTTTTGAGAAAAAAAAAAAGAAAAAAAGATTTTCTAGGCAAGAATCTTTTTTTTCTCATTTTTTATTTATGTATTTATATATATAACGTACGATTATTTCGTATAAAAAACAAGCAAGTTTAAAAAACAGAGCATTTGGTTCAATTTGTGATAGAGAATGATTTTTAATCAAAAAAGAAAAACAAAAAAAACAAAAAATAATAATAATCCATAACTATTGCAGAGAAAAGGACAGATAATCCGTTCTATCGTCTAGCAAGCGTCTTGCAAAAAGGGGAAATTCTATTTTGATCCCACAATGCCTCAAAGAGATATAATGCAGTCATCAGTATAGATCTCTTGTGTATATGAATTTCTTCTAACAGACGTCAGCTTTAGATTAAACAAAAAAACGAAAGTCAACTTTCAAAATATTGTGATCGACCGCGTCATTATATTAACATTAAAAAAAAAAATCTGAATTCAAATAAAATCATTTTCACACTTATGTACAATTGTGGGGCGCATTTTGTAAAACAACATCAGTATAACTACTCGAATAGTCGAATATTTACAAGTAGAGTCGTCAATTTTCTTATGGGGCCCTGCGCTGTTGTAATTGGCTTATTAAAGAATTATTTCGTTTTGAACGATCGAAGAAAATCTAATCGGATTCGTGCCCAGGGTTGTCTAGGGTGTCGTCGTGTCTCCTGTCGTCGTGTATTAAAAAATATAGACAAACGTATTCGCTTCTTGTTATGATGTATAACTTTTGTAGGTGTATTTGGGTGTAGTTAGTTATAGGTTTACTTCAGTTATCTTTCTTCCTTATTTGCTTGTGTGTTATCATCTTTTGCTTTTGAACGTTTTTATTTTGTTTTAAATTGCATCTCTTATTGGTTGTAAAGTTTAACTTTTCTCATCTTCGGGGAATATTTGTTTTCTCTTTTTTTTTCTCTTTGTTTCTTTCTTTTTCTTTTTGTTTTTTTTTTGTTTTGTTTTGTTTGTTTTGTTTTTTTTTTTTTTTTGTTTTTAATGCGACTGTATGTAAACGGTTATGTTTTGTTACAGTAGAGTAATGATAAACGCAACAGTGTTTCACTTTTCTTGATTTGATAAAATGGATGGTATTTTACCTTCTGAATATACTGCCGCAGCAGCTGCAGCTACAGATGCTGGTGTTCGCATAAAATATTCTTTATTAACACAATTTCTTAAGACATCGGGTATATTGCCGACTATGGCTCGCCGTATTTCCGTAGCAGCCATTTCTCGCAGTTCTGTAGCAGATGCGTCACTGAAGAAGGCGGCATGGGGTGTACATATTAGGTTGGGTGCGTCTTTGAGGGCGCCCTACGACAAAATAAATAAAAAAAATATAAACAATTAGGATTGAGATTAGCAGAGAAAATAATGAGGCAACTCCCTCCTTCCTCTATTGAAAATATTTACATATATGATGCATAGAGGACTTAAGATAGATGTCTTACTTGGAATACATTGAATGGCTCGTTTTCGTGTACATCAAGAGCAGCAGCTCTTATTCTACCTTGCTTTAGAGCTAAGGCCAAAGTCTCATCATCTACTAAACCGCCCCTTGCAGTATTTACGAGAAATGCACCAGGTCTCATCTGCAATGAAATGAACATGAATAGAGTAAAAAATGCATTTTATTCGATAAAATTCTCGTTGACAATGTTTTCAAAAAAAAAAAAAAAAATTGAATAACATTAACGAACCTGTTTGATTGTAAATTCATTTATTAAATGATGATTGTGTTCATTAAGAGTACAGTGCAGCGAAACACAATCTGATTGGAATAATAAATCTTGCAGAGTGTAGACACGTGTTAGACCAAGCGATTTGTCGATGCCATCGGGTAAATACGGATCATAAAATATGACATTAAATCCAAATGCTTTTGCTCTCAAGGCTACGGCGCTGCCAATGCGACCCAATCCGACTAAACCTAAAGTGTCGCCACGAATTCGAGCGCAACCCTTCGAAAAGAAAGCACAAAAATTGTTTTTTTAAATTAATTTTAATAATCGACTCACTCTATAATTATTTTGGGCCGATAAGAAATTAATTTTCTTTTCTTTTTTTTTTTTTTGCTTTTTTAAATTTGTTTCTTGGCCACTTACACCAATACAAATAAACAAGGTATTATTCGTTTAACTTACGTGTGCTGCTTCCCTTACTTGTTCGGGACCAGTGAACTTTTTACCTTCACGCACCATATTCGCTAACCAATAAGTTCTTCGATATAAATTTAAGATCAAGCACATGGTCGTGTCAGCTACTTCCTCTACCCCATAACCAGGAACATTGCATACGGCGATTCCCAGTTCACCGGCAGCTTTCACATCGATATTATCAGTGCCGCTGCCAATTCGTACAATAATGCGTAATGCTTTAAATTTTTCCAAATCTTCCTTTGTTAAAATTATCGTATGCCACATAAGAGCACCAACTGCTTCATTTAAAACCTACGACGATTTTTCATGAAAAATGCGTGAATATTGAGAAATTAGTAAAATTCAAAAATTTGCAAAAATGACGACAGATACCTTTTCATGAATTTCGGATGTACTTTGGGCGTCACAGAAGGCTACAGTGGCAACATCTTTTAATATGGGCATTTCAATGGAACAATCACGTCCATCCAGTAAGGCTACCAGAGGTCTTGCCTGCATTGGCCCATTTGCGAACGGTCCTTTTACATCCAGGCGTGATCGTTTCGGTAACATCATATTTTTATCCATGATGTCAGAAGAGAGAGGGTCTCAATTTTTTTTATTGATTTATTTATTTTTGTTTTTTTTTTTTTTTTGATTATATGATTATATGATTTGATTTTTAACAAATTTGATGAATTTTGTGAAATGTTCTCGTTCTTGGTGATGTGTATATATATTGCTTAGTAAGCGCGGCGCAGTCAAATGGTAAACAAATACAATTACAAATTTTCTCCGCTGTCCAAATCCGTTATAAAATATATATTTATATAAATATTAATGGTTCTTCTCCTTCTTCTTCTTTTTCTTCTTCTTCTTCTGCTGCTGCTGCTGCTGCTTCTTCTTCTCTCCGTCGTGATTATTCAGCGAGTCAGTTTAGCCAGTAGTAGTTTAAATGAATTAAGTGCTTACTTATCACTTTTGTTTATATTAGGTCTGATTTGATTGTTGAGTGTGTGCCGTGCTGTGCTGTGCTGTGCTTTGCTGTGCTATGCTGGCTAGCTGTTTTTGTTATTATTGTTGTTGTTTATATTATATTTTGTGAAATTCTATTTTCTTATTTAATCAGATTTTAGTTTAAATTCATTAATTATGCGAGATGAGAAGAATACACATGTATTTATATCATCATCATGTGGTGTGTACGTACGTTTATTAAAAAAAAAATAAAAATAAAAAATAAAATAAAAACAACGCAAACAAACTGTGATGATTCCGCAAGTTTATGGTTTGAATTCAAGTTCAATTCAGTCCGAATTAAACGAAATTCTTAATTGATTTTTCAATTTCTTTTACGCGCCTTTCTCTTTTTCTTTAATATTTTTTTTTATTCTTTTTTTTTTTTTTTGATGGATTGTTGTATTAGTTATTATTATAAATGAATTTTTCGCGTAATTTTTGGTTTTTGTTGTTGTTATTTTCTTTTTCGTTTTCTTCTTCCTTTTTTCTTTTTTTTTTTTTTTTAAAGTACTGGTTGCTTTAAAAATACCCTCATGTTGTGTGTTCCATCATCGCCAACGACAACAACAACAACGTCATGATATCAAAATTATAAAGAGCGTTTACGTTGTTTAGGTTGTTCGTTGTGCCACCACAGTCTGTAACATAAGGTATAAAAAAGAATTAAATTGAAAAAAATTTTTATGAAATCATAAAAAGTCAGCGCAAAGTGAATATAAGAATACAACAACAACGAATCATTTTATTTATTTCATTAAAAAAAAAAAACAAAATATTTCTTCTAAGCAATTTATAATTACACGGTACTATATACATACATACATACATACATACATACATACATACATACATACATAGCAATTTTGCATGGAACTGATGGTATTCATTCGCAAGGGTAATGGTAGTGATGTTAAGGTTACAAAGGATTTTGGTTAAGAAAAGTTTTCGCATCTTTCTCTTTCTGTCATTCAAAAGTTGAAAATTTGTAGGGAAAAGTTTTTGTAATCATGTTAAAGTTTATGACATTTTTCTTTATCTACAATTGAAATCAAAAAGAAAAGATGAGTGGGCGGCGTTACAAGAGACAATAAAAAATTTATATAAATAATATGTGTCATATCGATTATAAAAAAAAAAAAGAGAAAAAAAAAACAAACTTGTTTTAGCAAAACTTAAATAGACGACGACGACGATGACGACGACGACGACGACGTTTCAAAAAGTTGAAAAACAAGTAGTAAGCGAAAAAATACTGTATTATGCGTAAATTACACAAAAAGTATCTTCTGGAGGAAATATCTACAAAAATAAACTGAAATTACTTTCTTACCGTCGCAATATGTTTATTTACTTCAAAGGCACATCGTCTCGCCTGATAACTTTTTTGTTTAATAAATTTATTTGCAACCGTTAGACCACAAGCAAATTTTAAATAGAGGAAACGTACCCTCCTCTGAGAGGATGTAAGGCGGCCGATATTTGATATGAGAAAAAAAAGCAGGCACCACTCACTCAACTTGAGTAATTAGATGCAGGTTGAAATTGCATAATTTCCGTAGCGCATGACATATTTTTGAGCAGAGATACTGCCGAACTGCAGAACGAACGAATAGGCAAATTGAAAGAACCAGAGTTCGGGCAAAGGTAAAACATCTAGCTTTACTATCGTTTGTGTTTCCCTTTGTTCGCTTGTGTCATCCCCTAATATTCAGGAGTTGATACGTTCTACGGATTCGTTTATTTCGGTTTTGAATATGTGAAACACAAGTCGATCGCAACTATAAAAAAGAAAATACTATCGCCAATAGCAAAAAATTCCCTATTGCCGTCTCTTGCTTCTTTTACTGTTATTTTGCGTAGTTTATTATGTACATAGAGAGAGCGAGATAGATACTCAAAATATGAAAAAATCGATATCCATACCCGATCAGCTTTGATGGAGTGCAAGAGCAGTGAAAATAGAATTTTGAACATTGGAATGATAATTTGTTGTAAATGCAACAGAGTACAAAAGTTTGTAGTCGGGAGTCGACAACTAATGTTCTTGCTTTATCGGAAAGACTTAACACCAGTGCTGCTGGGAAGCCTAACGTTGCCGCATTTCGCAATTTTCGAGGTTAGAAAAATGCTTATGTAAATATTAGTTTGGGGAAAAAGAAATCCATTATTTTTATATGAACTTCAGGACTTTATTTAACATGCTTCGGATTGTCCGATTTGGGTCAAATATGCACCGTTTTGTTGTATGATTTGTTGTCATTTTAAAGGTAACTTCAAAATGCCTCTCTCATAGAAGTCCCGGTCACTATTTGCAAAAAACTCTAGTAGTCGATTTTCACAATCCTCCCTAGATTCCAATTTTTTATCATTAAAGAAATTTTGCAATGCAAGAAAAAGATGATAATCGCTTGGTGCCAAGTATGGCGCATTAAAACTTCCCAACCAAGCTCCCGAAGTTTCTGACGAGTCACTGTAGATGTGTGTGGCCTAGAAGACGGCATAATCAGCGAAAGAACACGCCCAGGTCTTGGAAAAAATTCAATCTCATTGCTTCATTTACATCCCTTTCACTGGATAGATAGTAGGCATAGCCTACGCGACCGCCATAGAGATTCGAAGTGAAACGTACTGAAATATACGTTCGTTTGACTAACCACAACCACAAAATTTAAATAAAGCTTTTGACAAGCTCAGGACATCGGAATGCAATATCATGTAAAAGGATTTTGGCATTTAGTCAAAGCAAAATTCAAACTTCCCGGAAAAAGACCTTTGAAGGCAAGTCGAGACGCAGTGTAAACTGTCGATTACAACAAAATGAACAATTCCCCTATGAGTATGTATTCTGCTAAACGTGAGTAGGTAATGTCAGTAATCCTACTGCCAAGACAAACCATTAATTTTTTTTTTTGCACTTACATGGGATAAATCCACGGAATGCTCTATGTATTCATTATTGAAGGGTAATGTAATATTAATTTTCCAAAATTGTTCTAACAATCCGTAAATATTCATGAAGGACGAATAAAAACGAAAGGACAATTAACTTGTTTAGAAAAAACATCGATCAAGAGCAACTAAGAACATATTTATAGTTCGCTCTCGAAAAAATCTTCATGTTGGTCTCCTTTCGGAGAATACTGCTGGAATGAGATTCTACCCTTGTACTCACAAAAGCTAAAAACAACCAACGCAAATAAATTTTGAAAGCGTTTACGTCATATTCGATGATCTTCGCTAGAAACGCGAAAGGCTCCAAACATTACAACAGAGGCAACTAAAGTATGTCAATATTTTCACTTGAAAATGAATATTTTAGGGGAAAAGTTCACATGGAGCTACTAAAAATTAAAACAACAAAGTCACGGATGCATTGATTGTTTGTTTGTTAATATAAAATGCAGATTTATTCTCTTTTGTTTTTGTGACTTGTTTTGAAAAGTTGCCATCCAAGAGTTTTAATTGGTTAAGTAAAATTTTACAAATATGATATGAAAATGTAACACGCGGTCGTTTGGTTTGTTTGTTTGGTTTTTCTTTTCTTTTTTTTTTTTGTTTTTAGTTTAGCCGTATATGTGTTCTATATATTTGTCTACCAACTTTTGCTTAATCAGCAAAAGCCGTATCAGCAGTAATCAAATTCGTTAAACGTTCAATGGCAAAAACAAAACATAAAAACGAACATTATCGGTTAATTTACTGGCGCTGGATGTGCAAAAATGACAATAGAAAAAATTCTTTATATATATATATATATATATATATATATATATTTTTTTTTTTTTATTTATATGCGCTCATGTATTCATTCATATAGATAGATAAAGAGGCGAAACTGGCGTCATATGAACGAACGTGCATAAAAATGACTAAAAGATAAATAAATAAATAAAAATAAACAAAAAAGACAGCAGTCTAAAGATTTCTTTTAACGATTTGTGTACTTTTTAAGTAAAGTCAACTCAAACATAACAAAAAAAAAAAATTATTCTTTATAAAAACGAGTAAAGCCACTATAGTGGGCCAGGGACTATCATTAACTACCCTAACAACAATCATTCTTACAGCAAAATTTTTTAAAATAAGTTATTGAAAAAGTCATCCGATCCAAAACACTTTCAACTGGGTTCGTTCTTCGGCAAAAATATGCCGGTCCATGAAAATATCTCAAGAATCGCGGCCTCTAGTTCGAGCGCAATAGCAGGGACAGACGGACCGAAACACTGAGATCGATCCAAAAAATATATCATATGGTTGTTACATACATCCAGATCAACTTAAGACACCCCTGTAGCACAAGTGGTTTCATGTATGCAATGAAAGCAATTACAAATAAAAAAATGAACAAAACTTTCCCAGAACAAATTAATTCATTTCTTACGATTGCTTACGATTTTTTCAATATTTAATGTTTGTCGTTCTCAGCTAATAATTTGATCGTGATTTGTAGGAATACTTCTTATTATATATGCAAAAAACGGCTGATCGATTTCTACGTAAATTTAACTTTCAGTTAATGGCGAATCTACTACTTCACGACATTCAATTATGCTCTGACTGATATCTCACAATTCAACTGTAGGACTTATTCGATTTACTACTAATTGAACAAAATAGTTGATGAAAAAAATTTGTAGTTGCAGTAACGATGATTGTCATTAATAGTTATCGTTATTAATTAATAAATTAAACTAAAACTAAACTAAACTAATAATAAAGTAATAATGATGAAAAAGCAATCGTTTGGCGAATAAAGTGCTATAACAAAACCACTTACACTACAAGTGAAAAAGTCAAGTCCAATGAGTACATATTCAGTTAGCAAAATATGTCTATTGATAAGAAGCAAATAATTTGAATTCTAGTTAACAGTGCTAGTTAGGAAACCTGGGGACTGTTTTTAAACTATCAGTTAATGTTAACATTAAGTGTTGGCGCGCGCGTTATAAAAAAGCACGAAGAGTAGATTTTCTTTACTCATAATGACTTATGGAAGTTTCAATTTAGATCATTTAGTCTAGAACAGTATACAGTGCTTGGTACTAGCTGTGGCCATTGATAGTTGCGTTCAAGTTTTTGTGTCCCTTGTAAGTCAGAAGTGAAGAATCAGCGCCCATATCTATTGCGGATTAATCGAGTTTTCTGAACCAGTGCTCATGTGTATTCCCAATTAACGGGAGATCCTGGGCGCCCTTGGCCTATATATTTGTAATCGAAATGTTTATTTATTTATTTATTCTACTTATACATGAAACTCAACTAAAGCAAATTGACAGTCAATTGAGTTCAATTGACTCTTAAAGTAAATCTTATATTAATTAATATTAAAACTTAGTATAAGTGTAATAAAACAAATAAGAAGGAAAAAAAAGCATAGAGCCACACCCACAAACGGTACAGGACCATATTGCAAATGAACCCCTAAGCCATCGCAAACATGCATAAGCTTGGCAACCGATAATAGTTGACAACAATTAATTTTCGAATCATAATGACTTTTTAAGGTTAAAAAGTAGTTCAAGTACGACATAGGTAAATCATTACTTATTATTATTAGGATATGTTGCTTCAATGGACTTTAAAGAGTCCGATAATGAGAATAAGTGATAGACGTCATTTAGGCTCTTGCAAACAACTC